AGAGTCTAATCTATTAACATCATAAGACAACAACAGCAGCAAACAAAAACAAACAAACAAATAACATCCTTATATAACAATTCAGGTATAAGGGAAAAAAGTATAAGCAGAACCTGACAGCCACTCCTTGCTCTCCCTCCCTCCCTCCTCCTTCCTTCCCTCCCTTCCTCCTCCCTCCTCCCTCCCTTCCCTTCCCTTACCTCCTCCTCCCTCCCTTCCCTTCCTTCCTTACCTCCCTCCTCTCTCCTCTTCCCTCCAGGTCAAAGTAATTTCTCAAACCAATCAAAACCTCACGAACAAACGAAGAACTCCCCCTTCCTCGTTAGTCAACAACACACACACACACACACACACTTTATACATACATACATACATACATACATTCATACATACATACATCAATCACTTCAATAACGTTTTTCACCTCACTCAGTGTCTTAACTCACTCATTTACTTGCTGCACTCACTCACTCACTCACTCACTCACTCACTCAACACAAGTCATTTAGAAAAGTCGTTCTCACAAATTAAAGTCAATATTTCGATTACTATCACAACCACAATCTTTAATTTCGCCGGAACTTCAACAACAACAATTCACTCCCGCCAGTAAAGAGGAAACTTATCACCACCACAACCACTGACAGCCTACCACCACTCTCCCGATCACAGCTACCAGTACCACTATCACCACCAGAACCACTGACAGCCTACCACCACTCTCCCGATCACAGCTACCAGTACCACTATCACCACCACAACCACTGACAGCCTACCACCACTCTCCCGATCACAGCTACCATTACCACTATCACCACCACAACCACTGACAGCCTACCACCACTCTCCCGATCACAGCTACCAGTACCACTATCACCACCACCATTACAACCACAAAAACCATCAGCATTACCATCCACATAACTCTCAACTACCATAACCGCCATTAGCACCATTACAATTACAACCATCGTATCACCACCAATAGAAGAACACAACCACTATTTTACTATCACCACAACTATAACCACAACAACCTATTCTACCACAATCATCATCTCTGTTACCACCAGTTCAGTCAACCACCCACACTATAACCATTACCACAACAACAATTACCACTACCACAACAGCAAACATCTGCACCACAACTACCCCCCCCCCGTCCTCTCCCCTCACCACCTCCTCTCCCCTCACCAACCCTCCTCTCCCCTCACCTCCTTCCTCAGCCATCAACCCACCAATCTTCAAACAATGGCCTCACTTCACACCCACGCCAAAAACAACTTCCAATCCCCTCACCATTTCCCCTCATCACTATCACCACAACTCATTATCCCTCACAACTAACTCATTGCAACTCACAACACCATTTCTCCCCCACCCTCCTCTCTCACACGCAATCCTCACCCCCTCTACTCCGCCCACCCCCACCTCACCTCCACCTGCCCACTCTCACCCCTTTCCACCTGCCCACCCCTCTCCCCACCTCCACCTGCCCACTTCCCTCATTTCATTATCTCTCCTCCCACAAACCTCCTAACAGTCCGCCGCTCCGAACCTACACCACATCTCCCTCCCTCACATATACAAATTTCTCAACACTATCTTCTTACACGCAACGTCTTACCATCTCCCCCACACCACACCCAACAACACACCACACCATACCATCCTTAACCCTACCACATCCCCCCCAAATACTCCCTATACCCAACAATCTCACCCCTCATCCTGACTCCACTTATCTCTTACACCTCTTCTCCTCACAATTTCCTCACCCCACCCACATATTCCCCTCATCATTCCCCCTCATCACCTCAACCCTCACCACCACCACCAAGCGACAACCAATCAAATAAATCAATTTAATAGCCAGCGATACTGTGGCATTTTAAAACAAGCCCCCGGGTCGGCCAGCCAATCCCGGCCCAGCCAATAACAGGCATTGAGGGGTAATCACCATCACATTTGACGCGCTTGGAAGCCAATTACAAGTTTGTGTGGGGTTGCTATTGCTTCGCTGCACAAGTTGGATTGCGTCGATCCTGTGTGGGCCTTATTAGCCTTCAGACCAGTGGGAGAGAGGGAGGGTGTGAATGGTGAGGACGGGTGCGAGTGATGAGTGGAAGGGTGAGGATGGTGAAGGAGTGTGGGTGGAAAAGAAATGGGTAGTGATGGAAGGAGAGGAAATTGAAAGAGTGAATGTCCTCAACTTATTCTGCTAGAAAGGAATAAAAGAAGGCCAATGAAAGAGGAAGGAAGGCAAGGAAGGAAGGAAGGAAGGAAATAAAACACAAGGAGAAAAAGAGAGTAAGGGGAGGAAGAGAAGTGGGTTCACTGACATAGGGGAATGGGAGGGAGAAAGAAGGAAAGGAAGGAAGTGGAAAGGAGGGTGGAAGAGAGGGAGGAAAGGTAGAAAGGAGTGAGGATAAGCTAGTTGATAAGGAATAGGAAGGGGTGCGATTGAAACGGAGGGGGAGGGAAGGAAGGAAGGAAGGAAGGAAGGAAGGAAGGAAGGAAGGAAGAGGTAAAACGAACCAATAAAATAAGAGAGATAACGAAGATAAAAGCGAAGCAGAATGAGAAAGTAATTAATACCGTAGTAAATAAATAATTAATTAAATAATGCCATCGTAAGTGTGTGACGAAGAAAACAAAAAAAAAGTAGATATTTAATTACATGACTTAACTATCTAACTACCTATAAATACCACTAAGGATTCGCTAAGTGAATCACCAGATAAACAAATGAATTTACAGGTGTTGGAAGAGACTCGAAACATTCTCTCAGAAGCATGAGTCATTCGTAAGGAGAAGAGAAGCGAAGAGAAGAGAAGAGAAGAGAAGAGAAGAGAAGAGAAGAGAAGAAGAAGAAAAAAAGACGTGTAAGGACTGGACAAGGGCAAGTTGGGCACCCAGGTCAAATGGCGAGGTCGGATTGGGTCACTTGACACAGCGCACCAGAGGCAATTAGAACCGGGAGGGTCACGTGGGGTCAGGGATTGGACAGGTCAGCACACCGAGAAGATGGAGATAGGAAGGGAAGAGGGGAAAAGGGTGGGGGTGGGGTGGGAGGGGAGAAGGGGAAGAGGGAGGGTAGGGAGGGAAGGAAGGAAGAGGGGAGAGAAGGACCTGCCAGCTAGCCCTTCTTGGACGGCTCCAAACTCGTGGTGCGTTTTGAGAGTCTCGTGAGTGAGGAAGTTCCTTAATGACGACCACTGCCTCAAGTTGGCGCTGGTGGGTGGAGGAGGAAGAGAGCAGTGGAACGGAAGCTCAGTGGGATGGAAGACTAGTGAGATGGAAGATTAGGACGATTGAGACCTAGCATGATGGAAGGAGAGTGGGATAAAAGATTAGTAAGGTGGATAATTCGTGGGATGGAAGATTAGTGGGATGGGAGACTTGTGGGATAGAAGAGTAATGAGACGAAAGATTAACGGGATGGAAGACTAGTGAAATGGAGAACTAGCATGATGGAAGATGAGCGAAATTGAGAAAGAGAGGAATTGGGATGGAAGGCCGATGGAATGGAAGGGGAAACCAACCAGATGAAATGACGGGGCGTAATGAGACAAAATTCCTATGGGGGGGGGAGGAGGGGAAAGGAATGGAATGGATGATAGACGACTCGCGCTATGAACGACCCGAGCTATGAACGACCCGAGCTGTGAACGACCTATGTGAGAAGATGATCAATGAGAAGGAGACCTGTGGAACGGTAGGAAAGACCGGACGGAAGAGGGGTGGAAGAGACGGGAAGACCACAGAGACGGGAATACCATAGGGGCTCGAAGACCAAAGAGAGGGGAAGAATACAAGAACGGGAAGACCACAGAGACGGGAAGACTACAGGGACGGGAAGATCACAGGGACGGGAAGACCACAGAGACGGGAAGGCTACAGGGACGGGAAGACCACGGAAAATAAAAACAACCAACGCAACACTACCTTATCCTCGACCCCAACCCTGTGATCCCGAACACACCTGCTCGACCATCACCTGCCTGACCGTCACTTACCCAAGGGCGTGAGTGGGTCAGGAGGCCGAGTGGGTGGAGGGAGGGAGGGAGGTCAACAACACGACAACACTGGTGATGTTCGGGAGTGTAGCTGGCGTGGGGTGTAGCTGGCGTGGGGTGTAGCGAGAGATAGATGGAAATATGAATACACTGAAAAAAATATTTTACGGACAACCCTCTTCAACCTTATACGCTAACATTAACATCAAACATAAACTATTATTAACATCCTCTCAAATTGACCAAATACACGTGGGGAAAAATATCAATAACCATAATTAATAAGTAGAATGATAATATTGATGATCTAGATATATGAACGATGTGTTTCTGAGTAATACAGCGAGAGAGATTTGGCGGGAAACACGGCAAGTAAAACGTATCGTACCGCAACCAGATCAAGTGAACGTTATCTTCAAGCTGTAGAGGTGACCAGCATCAAGATTTAACCCAGAGTCTTTCACAAACTGACCTGCTATTTATTGATACTAGACTGGGTCCGCTCGTACGACCCCAAGCCGGAAAGGGGTGACAATAGACACCTCGGGTCATACAGGCGTCGGGCGGGGGGGGAGAGGGGGGGGACACAAAAGGGGTGGCAGAATAAAGAACGGGGGACTAAGGCAAGGGAGGAAAGCCATGAGCAGTGTTAATAATAAAAGAATACGACATAAATTACCGAGAAATAAATTTAGTGCGGAAATTTCAGAGTCGGAAAATTTGGTGGTGTTGAGGGAGGCGTGGGGAGGGAGGCGGCGGAGAATGCCAGCTCTGACGTACGCGCTCTGTGGCTGAAAAGGAATGGACATAACCACCAGAATATGTGGACTTTCGTGCACAAAGAAAGCAAGGCCACGCAGACGGTGATGAACACAGCCAGTACCAGAAGAAAGGGAACCGCTAAATTCTCACTCAACTAGAAGTCCAAAAGAGAGAAGCGTGAGTCTGACGGTGGAGTTATCATACCGAGGAGGTCACATGGTCACCGCCAAGACGCCGCATCCACAACCAAGACCCTACATCCACAACCAAGACCCTACAGCCACAACCAAGACCCTACAGCCACAACCAAGACCCTACAGCCACAACCAAGACCCTACAGTCACAACCAAGACCCTACAGCCACAACCAAGACTCTACAGCCACAACCAAGACCCTACAGTCACAACCAAGACCCTACAGCCACAACCAAGACCCTACAGCCACAACCAAGACCCTACAGCCACAACCAAGACCCTACAGCCACAACCAAGACCCTACAGCCACAACCAAGACCCTACAGCCACAACCAAGACCCTACAGCCACAACCAAGACCCTACAGTCACAACCAAGACCCTACAGCCACAACCAAGACCCTACAGCCACAACCAAACTGTCAATCATAACTCAGATGACCAGACACAACCAAGATTCTCAAGTTGCAGCCAAAACGTCAAAGCCACAACCGAGATATCAGAGTCATAACCTGTCACACTCACAACCGAGCAGAGGAAGATGGTAAAGATATGAGACTTAAGCAGACAGACATCTACTGCTACGGCTGACATCAACACAGTAATTTTCTACGGCTGACATCAACACAGTAATTATCTACGGCTGACATCAACACAGTAATTTTCTACGGCTGACATCAACACAGTAATTATGTACAGCTGACATCAACACAGTAATCATCTATGGCAGACATCAACACAGTAATCATCTATGGCAGACATCAACACAGTAATTTTCTACGGCTGACATCAACACAGTAATATGTACAGCTGACATCAACACAGTAATCATCTATGGCAGACATCAACACAGTAATTATCTATGGCAGACATCAACACAGCAATTATCTATGGCTGACATCAACACAGTCAACACAGTAATTATCTACAGCTGACATCAACACAGTAATTATCTATGGCAGACATCAACACAGTAATCATCTATGGCGAACATCATACAGTAATCATCTATAGCAGACATCAACACAGTAATCATCTGGCAGACATCAACACAGCAATTATCTATGGCTGACATCAACACAGTAATCATATATGGCAGACATCAACACAGCAATTATCTATGGCAGACATCAACACAGCAATTATCTATGGCTGACATCAACACAGTAATCATATATGGCAGACATCAACACAGTAATTATCTATGGCAGACATCAACACAGTAATTATCTATGGCAGACATCAACACAGTAATTATCTATGGCAGACATCAACATAGTAGTTATCTACGGCAGACATCGACACAGTAATTATATACAGCTGACATCAACACAGTAATTATCTATGGCAGACATCAACACAGTAATTATCTATGGCAGACATCAACACAGCAATTATCTACGGTTGACATCAACACAGTAATCATACATGGCAGACATCAACACAGCAATTATCTACGGCTGACATCAACACAGTAATCATATATGGCAGACATCAACACAGTAATTATCTACGGCTGACATCAACACAGTAATCTACGGTAGACATCACTCCAGTAATCTATGGCAGACATCAACACAGTAATTATCTATGGCAGACATCAACACAGTAATCATCTATGGCAGACATCAACACAGTAATTATCTATGGCAGACATCAACACAGCAATTATCTATGGCTGACATCAACACAGTAATCATATATGGCAGACATCAACACAGCAATTATCTATGGCAGACATCAACACAGCAATTATCTATGGCTGACATCAACACAGTAATCATATATGGCAGACATCAACACAGTAATTATCTATGGCAGACATCAACACAGTAATTATCTATGGCAGACATCAACACAGTAATTATCTATGGCAGACATCAACATAGTAGTTATCTACGGCAGACATCGACACAGTAATTATATACAGCTGACATCAACACAGTAATTATCTATGGCAGACATCAACACAGTAATTATCTATGGCAGACATCAACACAGCAATTATCTACGGTTGACATCAACACAGTAATCATACATGGCAGACATCAACACAGCAATTATCTACGGCTGACATCAACACAGTAATCATATATGGCAGACATCAACACAGTAATTATCTACGGCTGACATCAACACAGTAATCTACGGTAGACATCACTCCAGTAATCATCGATGGCAGGCAGAGGCTTGGCAACATCCATGCCACAGGAACAACAAGCTGCCGAGGTACTGAACGCAACATCCAACCTCCAACAACAACAAGCTGCCAGGGTACTGAACGCAACATCCAACCTCCAACAACAACAACAAGCTGCCGGGGTACTTCAGCTCACAGCTCAGATCTCTCAACATCAAACCTCAGTGTCGTAGAGAAGTTAACTGAGAGACGCGGGAAGGAAAACTCTTGAGGTGAGAGATAAATGTGTCTGGATAGATCGAAAAGAGAGACAGTAGGTGAGATGGTAGAGACAGAGGGAGACTTAAAGTGAGAAGTTCCTATGAGTGACGTAATACCATGAGTGACCAATACTCTCTCTCTCTCTCTCTCTCTCTCTCTCTCTCTCTCTTACAAAAATAAAAAATAAATAAAAAATAAATAAAAAATAATCTAAAATACATATATTACCCAGCATAAAAGAATAAATCTAACCGAACCTAACCTAACCTAACCACCCAACCTAAACAGCCTATGACAACAAGGCGGACCAAGAGAGACACTAGACACAATCCGGCATATCGCCATAACCGGATAAACTGTATACCGGACAAAATCTCCGTGAAATAGGTCTGGATATCCGGTATTCGGTCTTGGGTGTCTTGACAGGCTGACCCCCTCCCCGCGTGGTGTACACAGCTGGCCAACTCATTTGAACCAATTGTTCCTTTAACGGCGTGTACATAAGGGTTAATTTATCGCCTTAATTATATCACATTCTCAACCGTAGAGACATATGACGAATAGCATCTTCTTGAACTGCCATGACAAGAGTCTCTAATGGCAACTAACCTCTCATGACACTGTGACCTTTCATGACTCTGTGATCTGATATAACCATGACCTCGCATAACCGTGACCTCATAACATTGACCTTTCTTGGTACTGTGACCTCTCATGATACCGTGACCTCTCTTGACGCGAGACACTCAAGACCATGGCCAAGAATTCCTTCAAGGGCGAGCCATAATTGAAATGATGGGAGAAGAGTGGAAGGGGGAGGGGAGGGAGAGAAGGAGGTAAGGAAAACTCCTGCGTGACTCTTGGTAATGATTCGTGAGAGAGAGGGAGGGAGGGAGGGAGGGAGAGGAAAAGAGGATATGTGGGAGGGGAGGGAGATAAGAGGGAGTTGAAGGAAAGTAAGAGGAAGGGAATGAAGCGAAGAAGAAGGGAGTGCGGGAGTGAAGGAAGGTCGGAGTAAGAGAGAGGGAGGGAAGGGAAATTGAAACGAAGGGAGGGAAGAAGGGAAGGATGACCCCTGCGTGAGTCCTGGTAATGATTCCTGTGGTAATGATTCCTGAGAGGAGAGGAGAGAGGAGAGAGAGAGAGAGAGAGAGATAAATATTACGAGACAGTGACCTCAGAAACCACCGCACGAGACACTAAAGAAAAATATCATAAAGAGATAAACAGACAGACAGAGAAACCCGTGGAAAAAAACACCACTTGACAATTCCTTATAGAAGGGGGTCATGATAGAGACGCCACAAGACAGACGCTAAGAGACAGAGACTATGAGAAGCCAAGAGACAGAGATATTACAAGAGACGCCACGAGATAGACACCAAGAGACGGAGACTACGAGACGCCACGAGACAGAGGCCATGTGGGGGGGTGAGGAGGCGGAGTGCTGCAAAGTTGGATGGGCTGGGTGCTGAGCAGACCTTGTGGGTTCCGATTGAAGGGCGCCGGGGAGAGTGGGGAGGGAGGGGGGGTGAGGAAGAGGGGAGAGGGGGGGAGTGAGGGGGGAGGCTTGGGTGATTGTGGGGAGATGGTGGGGGTGAGGGAAGAGACTGGGAGGAATGAGCGAGGCTGGGGAGGGTAAGGGAGAGGGATTGAAGGGGGTGGGAGGAAGGAAGTAGAGAGAGAGAGAGAGTTGGATATCAAGGTTAGAGATATGAGGTTGCGACGCACTGTGAACGGAGGGAAAACAGGGGGAAAGAAAGAGAATAGGATTGGGAGGTGAGGAAGGAGAGTGGGGAGAAAAGAGGGAGGAGAAGAAAGGGAGAGGGTGAAAGGCGAGGTAGGGAGGGAAAAGTGAAGAATAGAAACGGTGGGAGAGGGATGGAGGGAAGGGAGACAGGATAGTGGAAGTGGGAGGTAGGGAGGGATAGAGGAGAGGGAGGGAGGAGGGAGGAAGGGAGGGAAGGAGGGAGGGTAGTCTGGTGATGGCACGAGGGAAATTGTTAGGAAAAATGGAGTTTGTGAAGAACAGGTTGGAGGGGCATTAGGTCGCCATTGGAGGAGACAGTGAAATTGGGAGGGAGGGAGAGCATCAGCTGACCACAGGGGAGGGGCAAGCGGTGAAAACAAGGGCGTGTGGCGAGTGAAATAAGGTCGATGGCAGAGTGACATTGGAAGTACCAAACAATGAAATTGGGAGATTGTGGACACACACACACACACACACACACACACACACACACACACACACACACACACACACACCAACTTGTGAGTGAATAATACTGAATGTGTATGTAATGACATTATGAATAATAAATGAGTACAACTTTGAATGACAAATGTATCAACATTACACAACACTGATCCACGACTCTCTCTCTCTCTCTCTCTCTCGACCCTACCTCACTCTGTCTCTCTCTCTCTCTGCTAGAAGAGTTGTCGTCACATCACTTACCTGTGAAAAAATGAAGAGAAAAATAGAAATCAATTGTTGACTCCTTGTACAGTCATTACTATTGTTGAATGAGAACCACCGTTTTCTTGTCTGTCTGTCTGTGTCTGTCTGTCTGTCCATGGTGTTTAGATCCCAGCCTAAGACTACATTTTTTTTTTCGTTTACCTATTCAGTTAAATCCTGTCTAAAAATTACCTTTATCACTACTAAATAAGGGTGCTCTCTCTCTCTCTCTCTCTCTCTCTCTCTCTCTCTCTCTCTCTGTATATATTATCACTAGTCAATAAAACGCAACAGGTGTTTTTATTTTTTCATCTCCCCAAACAAAGATTCATTCAGCTCAGAATTACTTATAATTTAAAACCGCGTTTGAGAGGAGAAATTACTGTTTTACCTCATCCATCAGAGAGAGAGAGAGAGAGAGAGAGAGAGAGAGATTAGAAAACAATAATCATCAAGAGTAGTAGTAGTATTTAAATTATTTATATTAATATAATCCATAAATATTATTAGTAATATTATTAACATCACTAATAATATTTTTATCAACATTATCTTTTAATAATATTGCCA